AAAAGGTAAAAAAAAAAAAATCTTAATTAAATAATAAATATAAAAATAATATCTGTTTAACAAACATACAAATGTTAAAGGCAGACTACAAGCAAAATACTATAAAATACAGCAACCGCAAAGAGTGCTAATCAATGGATTAAAACCTAGACGGAAAAAAAATCTCTGCCAGTGAAGTATGAGGTTCTCTATTATTGGTTAACACACGCATCAGAGGCTTAGATAAGGACCTAAAAGCTCACTATCTAATTTACATCTATTCAGAAACATAAGATAAGTTGAAATTCCTATACTTAGGCTTAAATAATTTAATTATATAAGAACAAAATGGGAAAAGCCTGACAAAAGAGCAATACTTATAAAAAGGAATTCAGATTTTTGTTATCTATAATCTACATGAAAGAAACATTGACCTAAAATGGCTAACAGGTGTATACAATCTTGGACAATGTTGGTAGAAGGACAGTGTGAAAGTTTTTTTTTTTTTAAAAAAAAGAGAGCCATTTAAGTATACACTGGCTCAACAATGTTTGGATTCTAGTGTTCAAGTGTAGGAGACACACTGACACACTGAAATAAACCTAGGAAAAAATAATCAGGATGATAAAAATGTTTAGAAGTTAGGCCAAATGAAAAAAGTTGAAGACCAAGAATATAAGACTGCAGGCGAACTATCCACACAGGCTTCAAAGATTTGAAAGAATGTCTTACATACAGGAAAAGAACAAATTGTCAGCTGCCTTTTCCATGTGTTTTCCAAATCATATTTAATCTTCACCACATTCCTATGAGGTATTATTATTTTGAAGTTAATAATAAAACAGAACTACTATAAATAAAACTACCAGTAATAAAATACTGAACTGCTACAGAGAATACAATGAAAATGGATAGGTGAAAAAAATAATGCAAATGTTCATCAATAGCAAAAGGATAAACTGTGGAAAATTCATAGAATAATGTATTAGACAGCAAAGAGAATAAAATGAACTACTTCTATATACAAGAATGTAGAGAAATCTTGCAAATATAATGTAAAGCTAAAGAAACCAGACACAAGAGTTCATACTTATGATTACATTTATATAAAATTCAAAACAAAACTAGTCCATGAAGTAAAAAGTCAGGATAGTGTTTGGAGTAGAAGATGGTGAGGGGAAGGCAACTGGGTAATGTGCGGGATGAGAAAGCAGCACAGGTGGGGCTTCTAAGGTACTGGTGATATGGCTTTGTTAACTGTGACTTTTTCCTTTTGTGATAAATGGGCTCTCCAAATTCTTCCAACTCTGAATTTCAACTAAAGTTCCATGTCACATTTGCCAAAAGGAAAAAGAGTTATAATAAGCTTTTTATATTTTATACTAATCATTAATAAACAATATATAACATTAAATGAGGAATATTTTACCCTATTTGGGGTAGTAAACTACCAGACACAATATTCCTAAATCTTCTTATAATATGCACATGAAGAACTTACAGTCTAAGTTAATCAAGTTAAGCTTAATATTCATAAACTTATTTACCCAGCTATTTTTTTATTTTTATTTTTTAAATATGTTTTCATTGATTTCAGAGAAAGGAAGGGAGAGGGAGAGAGAAACATCAATGATGAGTCATTGATCAGCTGCCTCCTGCACACCGCCTGCTGGGGATCAAGGCGAAACCCAGGCATGTGCCCTGACCAGGAATCAAACTGTGATCTCCTGGATCATAGGTTGATGCTCAACTGCTGATCCACGCCAGCCAGGCTACCCAGCTATTTTTTTTAAATGTTGCTTTGCCACCTTGGTCAAGTAATAAGTTCTTGAGGCTTCTTTGAGTATATATTAGTCATTTCTTTCTCTCTTCTGAGAGATAACCTAAATACTCAAATATTCAGTTGTTCAATTAACCATAGCCACTTCTACTCCCAGTCCCATATACAACACAGAGCTAGGCCAAACTCACTAATTACTAGCTGCAACTTTGGCCCCAAACTCCTATATAGCCTACTACCTTAGTGTTCTGTTCTAAAACATTCCTGCCATCTAGCCTAACATGTAGCATCTATACTAAAAATTCAGGTAAGATCATCTCCTTGGCCTCTTCTCCCAGACCTGCACCCTGATCTAGAACTATAAAGTTTACCAATCATTTAATGGTGACAAAAGGCATGAAACATAAACTCAATTTAAAAACAAAAAATTTAAGGCTAAAAGTAGAATTTGCCCAGGTTGACCATTCCATTCTACATCCCTCACTAGAACTCCCCTGGTTTCTCCAAGGCCATTTTTACTCTTATCAGTCATGTAGGAAAGAAGAAAGAAAGCAGCATGAGGCTACTCATCATAAGGCTTAATAACATAAGCATAGGAGTCAATGGGATTCCATTTGAATCCCATCTCTGATAGCTGCCTAATATTGGTTAAGTAATGTATCTCCAGAGCTCAGCTTCCTTTATAAAGCCCTCGTAGGGTAATGAGGATTACATGAGATGTCTACTGAATACACAGCACAATGTCTAATATACTTTGTCGCTCAATAATTAGTTGTTACATCATAGAAATAATAATTGAAAGGAAAAAGGGAACCAAAGAGAAATTCCAGATATTCAACAGAGAGTCTAGAGTTCCATCATTTTACCCATTAAGAATATTCCCCCACCCTAGTATCATGATCTACTTATATCCTTCCTTGGAGTAAAATTTTTCCTTAACTCAAAAATGTATATATTTAGCCCGGTCAGAGTGGCTCAGCTGGTTGAGCGCTGTCTTGTGCACTGAAAGGTTGCGGGTTCAATTCCCGGTCAGGGTACATACCTGAGTTCAGGTTTGATCCCCAGTTGGGGAGCCTACAGAAGGAAGGCAACCAATCAATGTTTCCCTCTGACACCGATGTTTCTCTTTCTCTCTCTGCCCCCCCCTCCTCTAAGCATGTTCTCAGGTGAGGATTTAAAAAAAATGTATATAGTTAAATGTACAGAACATTAGATTAAGTCGTTGGTTTTAATTTTAGTTCCTGAACTTAATTTCTAAATAAAATCTTATGGTGAAAAACTAAAAGTCAAACTGAAGCAAGGCTGAGGACTTAAAGCCTTATATGGTTAGCTTTCCACTTGCTCCTCAAGGCATTCCTTGAGGTAGAGTTTGAATCTCCTATAAGAGCACTTCCAAATACTAAATTATTCTAAAACATTATGCATTAAAATTCCATTCTTCTTTTCTCATATACTTTTCAAATGAGAATTACTGGTTTACTATTCTTTAATACAGCATTAAGAAAACAAAGGAGATTTTAAAAAAATGATGCTTACCAACTATACATAAACAGATTTCATTTCCCAACATTTTCCGTAATTCTTTGACCCAGTTTTTTACCTGTGTATACAAAAGAGTTAATATTAAAACAAATTCTGTTACAATACTACCATTACAACACCCCAAAATTCAACATTGTCAAAATACCTCAGAATTTGGCTAACAGCCCATATATTTCATTGTTACCAGGAATGATTCACTGTAAGGTCACTTATTGCCAGGTTATATTGCAAACACCATACAAACATCCAATAGAAATATTTCTCTCTGCATCTACATACATGTACAGGTACAGAGAGAAGTTCCTCTAATTATAAATTTTCATAAATCTTCCATAGATTCAAGCAAAGTTATTCACCAGAGCAAAAGCATGCCAACTCCAGCCTCTGATAACAGGTACTTGTATAGAGTCACTTTGGACCTAAGAACACAAGAACTTAATCCAACTGGTTCTGAAATAGAGAACATAGGAGTTTCTGTATCACACACTTAAAGGAAAAAAATACATATGGACACCAAGAAGACTGGCAAAATGAGTTTTCATCCTTTAGTAGATGACAGGTTTCTTTTAACCTTGGCACTATTGATATTTTGGCTCAGATGATTCTCTGTTGTGAGCGACTGTCCTGTACAATACATGATGTTTAGCAGCGTCCCTGGCGTCCTAACCACTCTGTGCCATATTACTCTCCAGTTATGACAACCATAGATGCCTCCAGACATTGCCACCCTCTCCTGGAGAACCACTGGTACACGATGACTCCATTAACAAACTGATACTTCACTATGGATGAAGTGTAGCAGTAGGCACAGTGAGAGTAAACTGGAATTAAGAAAATGAGTCTTTTGAACTCCAGATTTTAAAGATGATGACTACAATAAAACAAGATAAAAAACAAACTTGGATACCTCCTTTCATTTTTTTTGTCATGGGATTTATTCTGTATGCAATCAAAGTAAACAGAACTTACACACATTCCAAAAAAATTACACACACATCTATAAATCCCAAAATTATATTAAATATGTGGAAAGCACTTACTGTGCATCTGGTCAAGTAGTACAAATGTAACAACTCTACACTCCTATTCTCTGCAAGAATGTAGAGGAACTAACCCTTTAGTAAACCCAAAATCTTTATAAAAGCAAAGGTAATCAATATCACCACCTTATCTTTATAATAGCACTCAATCAGTTTTCTCAGGATAGCCCCATCTTTTTGTTTCATTCACACGGGTACCAAGTTTTCAGAAAAGCATTTAACTTCCACCCCTAGTTTATTTCACACAAGAAAAATTTGATAGTACTGGTATAAAATGTCCATCCTCATCAACTTCAAAGGAAACATGTCAGAATCCAATTATGTATTACTCTACTCTCTATACAGTATCACTAATCTAACCTGTTAAAAAAAAGACTGTTATTCACCTCCAATAAGATCCTCCTCCATAGGCATCCAATTCATTACCCCATACACTCTGTGGTGAGTTAACAATGGTCAAAAATTCTTTGCCAATCCTCCTATCAAAAGGTAGACTCTATTTCCCCTCCCTTTAAATTTGGGCTAGCCATATAACTTGCTCTGACCAAGAGAACGTGGCAGAAGTAATGCTATGCCAGTTCCGGGCCTAAGCCTTAAGAAGGCCTGGCAGCTATACTCTTGGGACCCAGTTGTCATATAAGAAGCTTAGGCTAGAATATGGAATAATGAGAGAGCATGTGGAGAGAATATCAGCAGGTGAGACACCAGACAGAGAAGCCATGTGGAGGAGAACCAAGCTGCCTTGGATGGTCCTGGCGCAGCCAAACTCCCAGTTCACTGCAGCTGTACGAGTAACTCCACTGATACTAAATGTAGCAGAGGACCCACAAAATCATGAAAAATAGTAAATCATTTTAAACCACCAAGTTTCAGGGGTCTTGTTATGCAACACGAGATAAATGGTCACTTTTCAACCTTCTCTAATCAATAAAATACCTAAACCAATTTTTTAAAATACCTAAAAAGGCAGGAAGAGCCCTGGCCGCTGTGGCTCAGTTGGCTGGAGCATCATCCCGTACACCAAGAGGTGGTGGGTTCTATTTTTGATCAGGGAACATACCCAGGTTGCAGGTTCCATCTCTGGTTGGGGTGTGTTCAGGAAGCAACCAATTGATGTTTCTCTATCACATCAATGTTTCTCTCTCTCCCCCTCCCTCCCTCTAAGATCAATTAAAAAAAAAAGGGGGGGGGCAGGGATAACAAGTAGCAGCCCCAAAATAACTGTTTAAAGTATCATTAAATCTGCAAGGTGCTTCATTTTTCTACTCCTTGAACTAAGTTTTTCCACGTCATTAATAATCTAAGGGGTAACATATATCTGCTTCATCAGTTAAAAACTGAGAAATAAATGAAACGGGGAAAAAACCTAAAAAGGCAAGCAATTTCAACATGAACAAAACTATAACTCAAGCCCTGGCCCATTTTGCTCAGTGGTTAGAGCATCAGCCTGGGACTGAAGGAGCCCGGTTCGATTCCAGCCAGGAGCACGTACCTTGGTTGAAGGCTCCATCCCTAGTCGGGGTGCATGCGGGAGGCAACCAATGGATGTGTCTCTCTCACATCAATGTCTCTCCCCACCCCCTGCACTCTCTCTGAAAAGCAATGGAAAAATATCCTCAGGTGAGGATTATAAATAAATAAATAAATAAATAAATAAAGTTGGTTAATCTCATGCTCAGATATCTTAAGTGTATCTCATCTTTAGGTGGGCTGGTGTACTTATTTAAAAACAAACAAACCAAGAAAAAACCGTAACTCAAGCCAAGGGAAGTTTTTGCCTTGGAAATTACCCTTTCTGGTCACACACCCTTGACAAATTCCAAAAGGGGCTTTCAGAGGAAAGGTCAAATAAGTAATCAGTCACTATCCTAACGGTGATAAGAATTCAGAGATAAGTTTAATGGTAGCTCATTTATGGTCCCTAGCAACTTTAAACACTGTACTTTTGGTGTATGTTTAAGAATGTGTAAAAAAAAAGTGGAGGAGCTTGAAAATAAACACCTTTTAAAGTTCTATTCTTCCCTCCGGAAGAGTGAGGAGAAAGAGCTTAAATTTGGTTTAGTCCTCCTCTGCCTCTCCGCTATCAGGAAGTCCCCACAGCCGCACCAAGATTTCAGGCAATACACGTAGGCAAAGAAAGGCGTGTGATTTTTCCTTAACAGGGAGAAAAAACAAAAAGCCCCTATATTTTTCTAGAGTTTTACTTCAGATCATTTTCCCTTTCCCAATATCTAAGAAAGACATGTAATAAACGATTAATAACTGATATTCATATGGTTAACATGAATTAAATACTCCATTAAAAAATGAGTGACCATTTATGAGTGCCATTTATGTACACACTATATCTTTATAACAAAGACTAAACACATTAGTAAACAAATGCATGTTATGGAAACTTGAAAAACCAGTGTTATTCTTCTATTAAGTCATCTATCCAAAAGTAAATAAAATACCTTTTGAAAAGAATCTTCATCGGTTATATCATAAACTAAAATAGCTCCATTTGAATCTCTGTAGTAAATTGGACCCAGTGCATGGAATCTCTCTTGACCTGCTGTATCCTAAATAAAGAAATAAATGATCAGAAGAAAACAATACATCTGCTATTGCAATTACAGTAAACTTTTGACTAAAAGTCCATGACCACAAAAAGTGGGGCAAAAAGTTACAGATAACCCTAAAACACTCTTAAAAGAAGGCAGGTTACGAAAACTTTTTTAAAGTCAAGTCATAATCATTATTTAATGTTTTACTGTTATACAAAGTTTCATTTCCCCTCCCAACTATCTTCCGCCCCAGCAATCTTCCCACCTCCACCAAAAAAAGTCCAGTTGACTGAGGGTCAGAATAACCAGGATGGCATTATAAGCCAGGAATAGGCCTGGCCCTAAATTTAGGCTCCCCATAGAGGGAAGAGACAAGGAAACAAAACATGCACCAGGACCACCTGCCAACAGGTACCCTACTGCATTACTCTCCCCCTACTCTCCACTAGCCACTCCCTTGGAAGACTGGAACATANGGGGGGAGGCAAAGAGGCCCTGGCCAGTGTGGCTCAGTTGGCTGAGCATCGTAGTGTACACCGAAGGGTTGCCAGTTTGATTCCTGGTCAGGGAACATGCTCAGGTTGTGGGCTTGTGTGCTAGAGGCAGCCGATCTATGTTTCTCTCTCACATCAATGTTTTTCTCTCTCTCCCCCTCTCCTTTCCTCCTTCTCTAAAATCAATTTTAAAAAAATGTATTAGCCTGGCCAGGCATGGCTAAGCGGTTGAGCATCAACCTAGGATACAGGAAATTGCATTTCGATTCCCACTCAGGGCACATGCCCATGTTGCAGGCTCGGTCCCCAGTCAGGGGCATGCGGAGGATAGCCGATCAATGACTCTCTCTTATCATTGATGTTCCTATCTCTCTCTCCTCCTTTCCCGTCCTCTCTCTGAAATCAAGTTATATTTAAAAAAATACACACACACACACACACACACACACACACACACACACATTTTTAAAGGCCAAGCTGCTGTCCACCCATCCTGTCCTTTCCTTTCCCTAACATGGGAATCCCTCTGAGTTAACCCTAACTCAGCTGAAAAGTTATGATAGTAGTATTCATGTATATAATTGTATTCAAGATATAATTATATAATTGTATTCAAGATATATTAGCCAGATTTTAGAGAAAAAAAAAAACAACAACTATTAAAATAGGTTTTAGCTAATCTTCAGATAATTTAAAAGAAAATCCAAATTTTCAAATTACCAGTCCTTGAGCTGAAAAGGTTAACTTACCCATATAGCAAGGTTTACTCTTTTCCCACCAATATTTAACTTCTTTGTTAAGAATGATGCCTAAGAAAAGAGAGACATACATTAAAGAATGTTCATATAAAATAATGATCTTAACAACTATAGATAAATTATCTCAATATGAAACTCAAGTTATCTGGGAGAAAAAGTAATCATTTAAAAAAAAAGTTTTTATTAATGAATAACCATTTTCACTGAAGACAAAACATGACTTATATTCTAATCTAAGAAAAAGATATTTTGTTTTATGAACACATAATAAAAAATAAAGAAAAAATAGTATTTACTTTTTCTTAGTTTTTCTCCATAAAAATTTTCTTAAGAGCATTAATTTAATACTACCTCAAACACTCAAAATAGAAAGAGTCTAAGAGATTTCTAAGATGAGATCAAAGAAATGTTTGCTGGTAATTTACTTTATGTTTGAATACCAATATTATTCAAAAATGTTCCCTAGCAATTACTTTACAATTCAATTATTTTACCTATAAAAATATCTAAAAATTTTCCTAAGTACTAATGTAACAGAAATGAAAGGAAACAGTTCCAGCCTACAAGGAGCTTATAGTCTATTGCAGAAATAAAAATGTAAAGAGAATTATAATACCATGCGATAATTGTTAAAATGAAGGGTCTTGCCAACTATACTATAAGGGGGGCTAAGAAAGGAAATACAAAGCCTGCCTGGATGAGTCCAAGTCAGCTTCAGAGAAAAGGTGATGATCTCCCTTTTACTCGTAGTAGGGGTTTTCCTGACAGATGGGTGAAACCACTGAAGCCTGAAACACGTAACTCCCTGCCCCATGGTGAACTCCAAGCTGTATGGTCAATGCCAGAGATGAGACTATATATAGGCAAAGGCTGAATGAATAAAAAAAGTCCTTCAATTCCATGCCTGGAAGTATGGACTTTACCTGTGGTTCTTAATAAAACCTATTCCAAGACACTAGACATGTCTTAAAAAAAAAAAAAAAAAGTATACTACAGCCATAGCTGGTTTTGCTATGGTTAGAGCGTCAGCCCCTGGAATGAAGGATTCCAGGTTTGATTCCAGCCAGGGGCATGTACCTTCGTTGCAGGCTTGATCCCCGGCCCTGGTTGGGGTGCATGTGGGAGGCAACTAATTGATGTGTCTCTCTCACATCAATGTTTTTCTCTTCCCCCCTTCTGCTCTTTCTGAAAAAGCAATGGAATAAATTTTTTTGAGTGAGGATTAAACAAAAGAAAATGTATACTACAGTCAGATATATCTGGAAAATGCTGCATATTGCTCTGTATCCCCTTTGCACATTCACAAGGCAAATTAACACACTAAGATTCTGCCACAGTGAAGGCTGACTAATTGCATTTATATAAACATTTCCCAAAATCATCCGACCTCTTTTTCCCTAGAGAAATACCAAGAGTTGAGGGGGGCAGGGTGGAGGAGGACAATGGGGAAAAGGGGGGGATATCTATAATACTTTCAACAAAAAGATAAATTTTTTTAAAAAGTACCTAGTTCATATTAAGGAGTAAGTGACAATGGAGAATCACTGACCGGTTTTTAAACAGTGGGGAAATACAAAAAATCTATACTGCAAGAGAATGACTTTGGTATAATGGACCTGGGATAGTGGAGGCTATTACAAACTTGGAGAGAAAAAAAGGGTCATGAACTGAGTCCATGAAGACAGAAAAGAGAGAACAGAATCAACAGTAAATGAAGAGGAAATATCAGAATTCAGAGTCAGCTGACATGTTTAAAAAAGAAATGAGAGAGCCAAGTTCAAAGCTACGCAGAGACAGTCACATTCAGGTGTATCTATATAGAAGAAATTGCAGAGAAGAAAGGTAGAACAGATAAAATGGTAGGGTTAATTATTACTGAAAGAAGGAACCTACATTTCAGGAAGGACTTTCTGCTGTATGCATATAAAGGAAAATTAAAACTAAGAAAAGGCCACTGGATTTAGTGACTAAGGAATCCACATATAGATGTAAATGGCAGAGCTGAGATCCAAGTCCAGGAATGTCTGCCTTCAAGGCCCAAACTATACTACCCAAGAAATTTCATTAAATGAAACAAATAAAGATTATACAAAAAAGGCATAAAATAAATAAATGGCAAAATAACAAAAGAAAGAACTTAGAAAATGAGAAGATCAAATATATGCTATGACAATAAATGTGAATAAAAGGGCTTCTTCAACTCATAGCACTGAGACTAAGTATATGAACTTTGAAGCAGAACTTTATATTTGAATCTCAGCTTTGCCACTTATTAGTTATGTAATTTATTTGAACTCAATCATTTTCATGGTTTCAATATGAATGCTATAGAAACAAACTCAAGATCTGAATCCTATCTAAATATTTAACACACAGGTCAATTTAAATGCCTCTCAAACATGTTTAAAATTAAACTTGATCAATTAAAATTGATCTTCCCTCCAAAATTGGCTTTCCCTTCCAACTTTAGTATTTTGATCACATTCTCCAAGTCACTGAGATTTAGAACTTTAGTAGTATCATCACTGAATAATCTTCCTCCCTTGTCATTCCATATTCCCAAGAAAACCTACCAAACCTTGCCTTCATATTTCCTATGGCGCTTTTGACCAGTAATCTCATATTATGTCCTAATATAAATAAAATACCTTTGATCTCAGCTCACACTCTGGTCTACATGCCAAATTATCTTCCCAAAGTGTCCATGATTTTTAAAAATCTTATAACTCATAAAAGGGGTCTCTAATAAATTATTTTTAGTAAGTATGCTTGAATTACATACCTGGTGGCAGCTAATAACATTATTTGTCCTGAGTTTTGTAGGGATTTCTCTGCATAGGGGAGTGAACGTCTATCATCCCTTCTGAAACTAACCACCACTCTCCCATGGTGAGTTTAAGGGAGAGAGTTAAGTCTCTCCAAAGACATCATGAATATACAAAACAATTTTACGAAGAGTGCTCATCACAACATTAATTATAAGATTAAAGAAGACATGAAATAACCTAAGTATCCATCAACAGGCAATGTTTAAAATATATACATATATAGCCCATCTATACAGTGAAATAATACGCAGTCATTTTTACTATTGCTAATACTAGCTAACAGTTATAGAATGCTTACCCTCCACCAAGTACTATGCTAAGTACTTTTTACAAGATCACTTATAAGCTTCTTTATAAAAGTTAGGGAGCCCTAATCTACACATAAAAATCACAAAGCTTTATCCTTCACAATGTGTCCTCACCTGTCTTCCTAAGATAGATTCCAGTATTTTATTTACTCTCCAGCTTACATGGTCTGTATACAGTCCCTCCAATTCTGTTCATTAAATTCCCCTCTAATTTGGGACTATTCTTTATTCTCTGAGAGTCATATATATCCAAGTTCTGTTCTGACCTATACTCTTCTTCCTTGAATTTTTAAGCTTTCTCCTACCACTCATATAACCCTCAATGAGTTTCTCTATCATGAAGAATTTTAGACCCTAATCTTGTAATATACAGCATATACTGCCTTATGTTGTAAGGCAGGTCTAAGTCTTGTGTTAACCGGATTACACATTTTTATTAAACACTTTTGCAGTGCTTACAATAAAATGGGCAGTGTTCTAAGAACTTTTAAATATCAACTTACTTAATTCTCATAACACCTTGTGAGTTATATATAATTATTATATTATCCAAATATTATAGATGTAGAAACTGAGATACATGAAGGGTAGGTTTCTTGCCCAAGTCATACAGTAAGTGAAAGAGTGGGATTTGAAATCCAGGTAGTCTGGCTCCAAAAAGAACTCATAGCCTCTATGTTGTGGTACTTCCAAGACTCAGATCTGGACTAACACTTCTCTTGTGATGGAGACCGGAAAAGTGGTGCCAATACCCACACAGATGAAAATCTGCATATAACTTTAGACTCCCAATAAAACATAACTAATAGCCTACTGTTAACTGGAAGAAGACTTACTGGTAACATAAACAGTTGGCTAACACATATTTTATATGTTATATGTATTATATACTGCATTGTTATAATAAGCTAGAGAAAAGAAAGTATTAAGTAAAATTAAATTTACAGCACTGTACGTATTTAATAAAAAAAATCTGCATATAAGTGAACCCATGCAACTCAAATCCATGTTGTTTAAGGGTCAACTGTAGTTATTATAAATAAATACATTTACAATACGCCTGTGTAAATCAGTGGAGGTATAACTCTATGACAGAGATGTGCCTCTGAAAGTTTCCTCATAAACCAAATTACTTTAACTCAAATATCTGATGCACTAGTAAAGCACATTATCAAAGGGTACCCACTAAAGCTTTTTCCCCCCTTCATAATGAAAAATGTAAGTCCCACATTATAGAAAAATTCCTTCTGTAATATAAGTCATCTTATTTTATATACATCCTAAGTTCTGTTTTTTTTTTTAAATATATCTTTATTGATTTCAGAGAGAGGCAGGGAGAGGCAGAGATAGAAACATCAATGATGAGAGTCGCCACTGATTGGTTGCCTCCTGCACGTCCGACTGGGGATCAAGCCCACAACCCAGGCATGTGCCCTGACCGGAAATTGAACCTCGATCTCCTGGATCCTAGGTTGATGCTCAACTGCTGAGCCATGCCTGGCCAGGCCTACATCCTAAGTTTTTAATATTCTGCATTTTCTTAAAGAGGAACCATTTAGCCATAGCCGGTTTGGCTCAGTGGTTAGAGTGTTGGCCCATGGACTGAAGGGTCCCAGGTTTGATTCCAGCCAAGGGCACATACCTCGGTTGCAGGCTCGATCCCTGGCCCTGGTTATGGTACGTGCGGGAGGCAACCAATCAATGTGTCTCTCTCAGATCGATGTTTCTCTCTCTCTCTCCCCCTTCCACTCTCTCTGAAAAGCAATGGAAAAAATATCCTCAAGTGAGGATAAAAAAGGGGGGGGAGGGAAGAGGAATCATCTAGTTTTAAAGACAAATACAATTAGCCCAGCTGGTGTTGCTCAGTGGTTAAGCATCGACCCATGTGCCTGGAGGTCACCGTTCCCAATTAGGG